TTAGGGTAATTGTTTTACAAATAAGATACGTGTGATATTGTTTCATCACCTATTTTACCGCCTTAAGAGTAAACTTTTTACAAACTTGGAATGTAATATTCATTTATATTTAATCAACGGCCTAAAACATAACTTTCAAGCTTTAAAATCGACGATACTTCCATACAACATTTCATATCCTTCAAGTCCTTACATCCCTTTTTCCGCATTAAAAAGTAGCCTATGTCCTTTCTAAAGGTCTAGACTATCTACGAAACTTCATTTAAATCGATTCAGTAGTTTTGGCGTGAAAGCGCGACAGATAGACAGACAGAGTTACTTTCGCATTTATAATATTAGTAATGATTGCACGTGTATATATATACAATAAAATGATGATGATGATGATGATGATGATGAATTTTCACATTTTTTGGCCTAAAAGCAGTGTCTTTGGGGTTCTGGTTCTAAGAAATTAAGAGTCGGATATACATTTTTATTCCTGAATTATATAGATAGATATCTAATCTTAAAAACTACATCTTTGAAATGTTAATTTTCTCTTTGTTAGTCTTCCTAATTTCTAAAATAGTTTATTCAAAAACGCTAAATGACAGAAGTTTGGGGTCGTCGTTCATTAATAAACAAACATAAATTGATATGATATCTTTACTAAAACTTGATAATTACTTTATACATTGAGACAGCATCGTCCTATTTTTCATTTTCAACTTAAATATCTAAAAAATTGATCATAATTAAACCCGAAATTTCAACAAAACTTTGCCATAATCATTTCTAATTTTCTCATAAATACAACGAAATTTTTGCATAAAAAAAACATAATAATAAAGTTAATATACTTATAAATTAGAAATATGAAAAAAAATATAGGTTTCTAAGAAAAAAATAAACAATAATAATAATTGAAAGTTGTATAAATTCCGTTGCGCCAAAAGTAAATTCTCAGTGCTGCGCTAGCGCTCGTCGAGGTAGGACCTATGCCATTTTTTACAACACCGCTAAGATAAGACATTCGTCATTGAACATTAGTATAGAGCGACTAAACAATTTTGATAATTTAAGTAATATTTAATTAATTTTGCTAATATATACTTATTTCTACGAATATTAATTTAAAGTTGTTGTTAAATATATATATATATATAATATTTATTTTAGCATGCCAAGACAAAAGTACAGTTATGCTACAAATAAAACCTACCTACCCTGCTGGACTATGAAAAGCACAAGAGCATGGTATTTCGTCACACTAATGGCAATTAATTGTTAAAATTAAAAAAGAGAACATTTTAGTATTTTTTAAAATAACGCTTATCTGAGAGAAAAATGTAAGAAAATGTAAACCAATTTTACTCTATGTTTATTTTGTAGTTTTTTTTCTAAATTAAAATAGGGTTATTGTTTATAAAAATACCATTATTATTTTTACGTACATTTGTCTTGTATTATATAGTGTATATCATCTAGTATGCAATGTGGATTGTAAATAAATTACCAAATTATATATAAATTATATTCCTTAATGTTTAGAGATATTTTATCCAATTTTATTTTATTTTACACAATACAGATATTTCTAAATTGCAGCTATTCTGTTATTATACTCGTTGGACTTTCATTACTGTACAGTTATGTCAAATAATTATGCGTGTTTGGGTGAAAAGTCAACAACATTATAAATGTTTTTATTTAGAGACTAGCTTTTAGCTCGCGGCTTCGCCCGCGTGAATATGGGATATATAGGTTATCGCGCGTTTAAAGATCCGTGTACAGTATTGGGACGTTATATATAAACCTTCCTCTTGAGTCTATCTATTCTGTCTATTTAATAACAACGAATCAAAATCTGCGTAGTTTTTTAAGATCAAAACATACATAGATCTATTACATGTGTAGATGATATTTTAACCGGAAATTGAAGCCGTTAAAATGGTATTGGCAGATCCGTTGGAATCATCGGTATTCTTGGTATATAAGCTGGTTGCCCAGCTAACGTACCGGTTATAATGGTCTACAATTAAATTGTCTTTCAATTCTTTAGTAAGCAATATATCCAATGGGACGCCATTGCACATGTTCGGCGGGCTTAAATTTCATGACTGGATCATGCTTTTGAGAAATTCCTTCCTCAAGTTTGAGCATTTAGTGTGGGAAATCACTATCTGTGCTTCCATAAAAATGAGCTCTCAAATTTGTCAGTAGTTTTAAACTTTCAATTAAAGTCCATAAGGGAGACGATGTTAATGACACAGAGAGTCTTTCAGAAATCTCCAGCAAAAGTATAAAAGTAATCCCGCCAATGAGAGCAGAGGTGTTTCTAAGGTCTTTTAAGGTTCTGTCCAAAATCTCTATAGCTCATGGTGATTTCATTACATATAATCAATGAGGCGTCTTATAATAATTTATAAAAAGGTTTGACATTAACAATTAATTATTTATCAAGAATCAAGAATCGGCCAACCAAGAACGAGAAGCTGCAATATCAGCCAATATCATGCGGCGACGTCAATGATGCAGGAACAGCAATGATAGCAGTTGAGACAACTTAGAATGGCAAACAAGCTGACGGCTCTCCTGATGGAAAGGGGTAACCGTCGCCTATATACATGAGCAGTACCTGACATGTTCATATCAGCACATTGTTTCCCTCATGCGTTGCCATTCCTGAAAACTCGGGTGTTATTCCCCTGTACCTTGTAAATTCACTACCATATATATACACAGGTAGTCTATATAGATAGATATACATATACACAGATAGTATACCCTGAGAAAGGTCATAGACTACTTTATAGTGCGAAAAAAGTATTGTAAGGGATTAAAAGCGGAGATGAAAGGTTGTATAAAAGTATCGTCATTGTTTAAGTGAAACAAAGAAACTTTTTTAGGTTATAATCTAAATATTTTTCCTTTATTTGGTCAATTTCATTATACCACGCTGACGAAGTCGCGGACACACCTAATATACATATAAGGATGGGACCTTTAAATCAAAACAAAGCCTTGAAAACACAACTATTATATATAAATAAAATAATTATTTGCTAAGTATAATATTTAGAACAAGTGAATATGGCAATAATGTATCCGACTCTTATAATAAATTATATTGTATCTATTAATAAATAAACTGAATTAATACGTAAGAAGAATTAATTAGTAAATTTATGTTATAGTAATTTCGTCTTCCTGTCCCAATTATTTGTTACTCATATTACTTAAGGTTTTGGCTTTTAGTTGTACAATCGGCCAGCATCCTGACATCAACCCTCTAGGAATAATATAATAAAAAAATATGGTCATTATTAGCACTTTGATAATTAAGATAAATCACGTTATTTAAAAAAATACAATAAGTAGTTTATGTTACTTAGTTAAGTAGATACATATCACATTATTAATTAAAATATTACAAGGATCAAAATGGTTCATACTAAATCCACACCGATTGAGCTACACGGTTATTTGCGTCTGTGTGCGTGTATTACTGTATGTGTGCGTAAATCCATGCGATTATACCTAAAGTTGAGCGGCATCATTTTGTAATAGGCCTCTTAATGCAATATGAAATAATTCGCTCCAATAGAATCTTCTTCTGCTAAAAAATCTTTTACTATGGTGTCCATAATATAACTTCTGCTTACCTTGGGAAGTTTGTCAATTATCCTGGGTTCTTATTATTATGTAAATTGAATCCAAAGACGTAATTATCTTGTTCTTAAATGTAAGATTATTAGCTATGGAGAGTCTATACTTGCCTATGAAGTAGGCCAGTGTTTACTACCAACAATGTATACCTAAAACAGATTGAATTCTTCGGAGTGCTCTTAGATATCGTAGTTAATTCTGGTCAATTTAACCATAATGGACTAAATGACCTGATTCCGACCTTTCACCCTTCATTGAGGAGCCGGTAGCGTATGTATAGTAGATACAATTTAGAGCGAAATAAATCTTCGAGTTTTTTAAATTAAGTATGATGTTATACTAAAGTGCAGATAATACAATGTAGGTAAGACAGATAGCTAATAAGTAGATATCTATCCATGATGACCGCAACGAATTACCTATTATTAGAGATGGCTAATAATTTGTAACAGCTGTTCGGTGAGCTTGTTTTTTACCGCCGCGATGTACCGACTTTTGTAGCGAGTGCTGTCTAAAAATATGAATAATAAAATTTTGGCGTCACATTTCAACGTCGCAACGGGTTCGGTGGGAAAGTCGGTGTCGCAACAATACCCGGTCGCCAATCGTACAATCGGGACCGGTCACACAATAGAACGATTTCCTGTGGCCACGCCTCGCTCGATACAATGCCGCTACACGCCCAGCCCGCTAGCTACTCTCAGCCCGCGACCGCACTCGAAAGAAAGAAAATTTTCTCCACAAATACAAACGTATTCACGGATTGTATTGACTTTTTAAACGCCCTCATAGAATCCGCGCACACCCACCTGAGATCCATTGTGGTGTGCGAAAATCGTTTCACAATGCCCGGCTATTCACCGCGGTACGCACACTATGCACCTATTGCGCACTCAGAGACACTCGCCTGGGCGGAGTCTAGAGCGAGACAAAAACTCGCCTAGCCCGCGAAGAATACGTGCGAGCGGGTGGGAACACGCCGCTCGGTCACGCACACATTGGCCGCTAGAAAAGGATGGGCAGAACGGGCTTTGTATAGATTCCGCGGCACGAAAGCTGTTATTCCGCATAGACAATTGATTGTAAACTATAACTTGGAATAGAAGCTTATTATTTTTTCACGTAATTATGCAGCATGGAGTATAAGAAATTGTAATTTGCATTTAGATTGCCATGTTTGATTCATGTTGTGAAAACTAAGGCCTTCGAAGGACGGCATTGTTCACAGGGCAGTGACATTAGCTCGGTGCGTCCTTGTCGCACGTGCGGCGGGGGGCGGGGGGCGGTGGTTATTGTAGCGCGCGCGTATTGTCGGCCCGCTTCGATCTGCCAGCATTGTGTATCGGCGCCGCATATTTGCCAGACGTGCATCGCGTTCCGATTTTGAATTTCGAACGCGTTCGATCGCGGTACGATATTGCGAACTTATTATTTTAACGCGAACACCGGTTTATTCTTCAGTTTGTGTTGGACTATTGTTTATTTTTTGTTTGTGTTTCATTTGTGTGTTCTTATTAATAGTTTTGTGACTGTTACAATATATTTTAAACTGTAAATAATTGTGAAAAATAATGCCAAAGAATACAGCGAGTGTTTAGACATTATCACGTGTTTAAAAAAGTTTTGTTACATTTTAATTTATATTATTAATTACTTATTTTTCGTTAAATACCGATTTTTCTGATGTCTCAAACGGCGAGAGGAACAATGATAACACGATTAAAGGTAAACAATATTTTTTTGTTTAAATTGTTGAACGCAAATTATGACCCTACCTACCGTTTCTTTTTAAAAATATTTTTAATATTTGACTTCTAGGCAATTATTACAACTTCTGTCAGAAATTATGATTTTAATTATTCGTACTAGGTCAATATTAATAATAATAAGTGACTCACTTTGCCCAGTGGTCTTAATCTGAAATTTATTATAAAAACCGTTGAATATCTTAATATCAAGTAGGTACTACCTTGAATTTTAAATTTATATATTGACTTCTGCATTTGAGAAATCAAGTAACCGTGATTTTTTTTTTGTAAGATCCAGTAGGTACCTATAGATATTATAAGAATAGTTAAATATAAATAATTTCTCAAAATTAAACGACAATGTTTCTCAGATATTAATTTCTAAAGCTATTTATCATTGAAATTTATTTATTGTGATCTTTATGTATCTAAACTGACCAACAATGTAATTGATTTGATAACAGTATCTAATAATCAGGACTCTCCCTGGACAATTCACACAGCGACACCCAGTCCCAAGCTAAGCAGAGCTTGTAGATATTATACTTAGATACCTAGGTACTAGACAACTGATACATACATACATAGATACTTTTTTAAAATACATATCTACCTACATTATAGATATAGGTATATAGAAAACACCCACACCGATACGAACAATCATATTCATGAGTACAAAAGTTGGTACCGTGCGAGGACTCGAACCCGCGACCATCGGATATAGAGCAGTGTGCTAAACCGCTAGACTACCGAGGGCGTCAATTATTTTGTTTAGATACCTGTTCAAATAAAGATTAGTTACAAAACAAAATTAGATATAAATTAATATCGATCAATAGGTAGGTATGTTACTTATCATCCTAGTGTTGTATTATTATTAAGATCCTTTCAATCGTTTAGTTGTAATTGTAACAGACAGACATACCTTTGCATGTTATCCATATTACCTAACATTATTATTATGGATAACATTACAGTAGATACAATTTTAAATGCCTGCATAATATTTAATAAATGATGCATAAATTATAAACTAACAATGATTAAAGATATTGATAGTGGTCTCGGTACTACCTTTTGTAGTGTTGTGTAAATCGGTATTATTGAATAATGCAATCGGATATGGTGAATTAGCTCACACAAACGACTCTATTAACCTAAACCAGGGGAAATTAATGTCTGTCGATTACCTAATACTAAATCGGTGCAAAGATAAATTATTGTTCTACTAGCTACCTACCTACATGTAATAGATACTAGCTGTGTCTGCGTTGTTTTCACCCGCGTTAAATTTATAGCCATATATATTTTGTAGGTTTTTCAAATTCAAATTCAAAAATCATTTATTCATGTAGGACAGTTTAGCCGCTTATGAACGTAAAATTTTTACATTATAATTTTATTTTTTCCCTACCGTCCAGTTCGGTATATAGATCCAATTGAGAAGAACTGGCAAGAAACTCAATTGAATTACTTTTTTTTTTAAAGCCAGTTTATTTACAATGTATTTTTATATAGGTGTCAATGTCTAACATTAACATTTCTGATATAGGTATAAGCTATATTACTGTAAAGTTTCATCAAAATCCGTTTAGTAGTTTTTGCGTGAAAGGGTAACAAACATCCACCCATTTCGCGTTTATAATATTAATAAGATTTAATTCCAGTACGTACCTTTAAATTATTAAAATAACTGGAACTGCTGAATGACTAAAATAGTACACCTATTTATTAGGTTTCTATGAATAAGATGTAATATGAGATTATTATGTACCTATAGGTACATAATTATTACCTACATAATAATGTCCTATTAAGTAGGTAGACTATATAAAACATAAGAATTGATCTATTTTAAATATTGAGCTGTTTGAGCTATATTAGAGCTATTCTACTACAAGGTATAATACTCACAAGAAGTTTTGGCTTGTATAAGACAGATAGTAGACAGACAGATAGACAGATAGTTAGTTCTTATTCTAGATGAGTACTCTGACTAGGGAGGGAACTATTATCATTCTAATGAAATAGTATCTAACACGTTTTTAAACTTCTTTTTACTTTCGTCATTAAATACCTAGATATAATTTTAGTAATCTTATCTCAATATCTTCACTGCATACTTTTTATCTCAACACTCAGTTAATTTTATTTTTAACTAGATATAAACCTTCTATTTATTTCTTTTTTATAAATAATAATTATTAAGTACTAATTGATAATATCAAATAAAAACTTTAAAAAAGATACACAATATTGCAGCGTACTCTACGCTGCAATATTGTGTATCTTTTTTAAAGTTGACGAACAATTATGACAGGTGTATTTAAAGTAATTAATGGTTCAATAATTTAAAGATTAGATATGGCCACAGATTTTGGAAGAAAAGATTATTATTTTATGAGATTATTACTAAAATATTATATATATAATATATATATTATCTTATTAGTATATAACGTAAATATTGTTACTTTAATAGTAATTTATTAATAATTAGATAATTTTGGGTATACTTACCTAATTAACCATTTTAAACCAGAGTATTTTTATTTATGTATCTATGTATAGATACAAATATATTTATGTTATTATTTATTATCAATAATAACATTAATTGAATTTCAGATATTCAGTGAGAACTTCTCAAAACTGTTTGCCAGACAAAGTTTATCTACTCTGTACAAATGTAGATAATTAAATATCTTTAAATATTTTATTCGTATTATTCTGTAGGTATACCTACCTACAGAAATTTATTAGGAATTATCTAGGGAGGTATACGCTGTATTGTTTGTATTAAAGCATAGAGTGTTTATTACTTCTACATTGTTCTTAATAATAAGTAATAATTCTTAATTAAACATTATTATTTACCTACCTATATTACAATCTGTGATCCTGTCTCGACATTTTTATACGGCCCATCTGATGGTATACGGTTACGGTAGCCTATGGACGCTTCAGACACTAGGGGTATCACGTGCGTTTTGCCGACCTTCAAAAAACCTTAATATACCTACTTTACTTGAAAAACCATACGCAGAGATCGTATAGATCATGAGAAAACCTCGGCAAGCAGTTCATGCTATTATCTAGTGTATGTGGAAGCTCCTCTGAAAACGCACTGTCCGATAACACTTATGTTCTAGGGCGTTGAGATAAATTTTCTGTCGATGACGATTTATTCCACTGGATTTTCAATTACTTAGGTATTTAATATGAATCTTAGTCAAAACTTTAGGATTTATTCAAGTACCAAAAACTTGATTTATTTTGACCATATGCAGTATTTTTTCTGTTTTTATCTTTCAGCAACACCAAATGGCCATTATGTAGCGGTGACAATTGTTAATTGGCGTCCTCTCCGTGCCGCTGCCAGTAAACGGCAAAATTTAAACTCGCCGTATTGTTGATCGGATAACTTGACGCGCAAATTACCGCATTTAAATTTTAAAATTAAGTACGCGGTAAATTAACGTGAACTGGCCTGTTGTTTGTTGAAATTGCGTTCGGCGTGCGTGAACCGTTCGGGAATCTTTATTCCAACTCTAAATTTCTTTTAATGACCTCGGTTTTAAGTAATAAAAATGTGTCAATTTGTTAAGTTACACCCGAGATTTTGTAAATTACGATTGGGCGGATGAGGTAACTACAATTTAAAATACGGTTTATAATACTCGCTCAGTTGAAAACCATTAGATTTGATTGTCGTTTTATTGCCTACGTATCAACTAATAAGCTAGACAGTAAAATTGTGGTATTGAAGTAACTTTTTTCTTGTGTTTAATTGCTATTTGTTTTCATATTAGGTATTTCATATAATTTCTGTCAATTTAATTACTATTTCATTAGTAAGTAATTTATCTTACCTATGTAGGTATAAACTATAGGTAATTTCTATTTAGTTGCCTAACATGCTCAAAAACCTATCTTATTTCATTCATATTAAATGTAGATGTATACCTACAAGTAATAGTAAGTAAACTATTATCTAAAACCAAAATGGAATGTACTTAGATGTACCTAATATATAGTATTTTAAAATATAAAATTATTTATTTTTCATTACAAGCAATTTGTGTTTAATATCATTTGCGTTGTCTTTTTGACACCTCGTTAATAATTACCTATTTACAATTAAAATGCTACTTAAAAAACCTCTTTCCACTTATAGGTACTTTATAATAAATAGATAACAACCTAATTAACAAATGGAATCCTTTATTTAATATTGCATACAATTAAAAAATATTTTTTTGTTTTACAGGCTGATATTAATGAGGCTGATATTCTATTTATATCCTGTGCCTAGATTCAATTATTTGTTCAGCAACTATTCCCACAATTCCAGAAACTGGGATAAAGCAGTCAATTGTTTTTCATAAATATTATTTTTGTTATTAACCAACAGGAAACCGGCTCACATATTTATATTAAACAGTGGCCGCAATGAAAACAGTCGTAAATTCAATCGAATGTAAACCTTAACACCGGACCGGATGCGATGAATATTAAAAAAATATGTAACTATTCAACCAAACATATACACTAAATAGGCATCGTCAGAGAAACGCTGTACGACTGGCCAGTCGTAAAAAAATGAAGATGCGGTTATGTTTAATAACCGATTTATAACTTTTTAAAAAATCTATAGGATGTGGTTTTGTCTTTAAGATCTCGATGTTAAATCAAACATCGCGGTTAAAATATGGCGCCTCCAACGAGTTTACGAGCTAATGAAGTAATGCTTCAAATACGTTTTGGAGTATTTCTTATTTAACTTACTTTCTATCAGTTCTTGCTTTGCTAAGATAGAAATTATCATGACGCCCAGCGTTCAATGTTTAAGTGGGTTTACGATTATATTTTACACCGTAATTTTGCAACTTTATATAGGTAGCTTTATAAGGTATTTATGAATGTTTTGTCACGTTTATCATCTACTGATGACAGTTAATTACTGATTGGCCA